TGCTCATTGGTTTGAAGCTGACAGAAATATTTTGAACTCTTCCATTAGTGGACTATACACTTTTTCCTTTTTCACATATTCATCATCACAATTTTGAAGTCTGGGTATTGGAAGAGCTTTAGGACATAACTGAATGGGTCTCTTAAAATTTCCCTGAAGGCAATGTTGTTCTGATGTGGCTGACGGTAAACCTGGACTCATTGATATAATGGTATCTGTGCTGGGCAGTAAACAATGACTTTAATCAAGATTCTAAATGTTCTTCAGATTAAATTGCTTTCCAGGGTTCTCTGATTTTATAGAGTGAGAGTGGGTGTATCTGTTTCTATTTTGTAGTTCCATTCCCCTAGATAGTATTTCTTTTAACTCTCAAAGCTGTAAAAGAAACTAAGACAAAAACCTTGCCATTTACCTAGTGATCGCTTTTTGTTTCTCAACCCGAAGTACATCAATGTTAGTAATAGTAGAAAGGAAACAAATGTGCTCTAGTTTTTCCTTTTCATTATCATTTCTTTTGAACAGATAGGAGGAATATTACACAAAGGCAAATTTGGTTACTAGTCATGTGATAACTTATCTGAACAATTACATGTTGGTTGGTTGAATGGTGTCACCTTAAAAGGCAAGGCTCTGATTTCACTCAGGCTGCAGTTGTCCTGTGTAGCTTTGATCCAAAATTTTAGAATTGTTTTCAGAACAAGAGGTAGATTTTTATGCTTTCTTTTTATTTTTTTTCCATTATTTCCTTCCTCCTCCCCACCATCCTTTCTTCCCCTTCTTTCACTTTCTACAATCTCTTTTTCCTTCTTTCCTTCTGTTTTCCTCCTGGTTGGGCACCTGGAGGTACAACTCACAAAAGTGTAGGAGCTTCCCTAAGACTGAGGCTCTCTTGAGTTTTTTTTTTTAATGTTTATTTATTTTTGAGGGGGGGAAGGGGCAGAGAGAGAGGGAGACGCAGAATCCAAAGCAGGCTCCAGGCTCTGAGCTGTCAGCACAGAGCCTGACGTCCGGCCTGTGAGATCATGACCTGAGCTGAAGTCGAATGCTTAACTGACTGAGCCACCCAGGCACCCCATCCCTTGAGTTTTTAACTCAGTCTTGTTCACACTGAGCCTCCAGCAATTCACCAATTATAGTTTAAGTGTTCCTTCCCCAGTATTGGTTCTGATGGAAGCTTTTGCTTATTGTAAGCTTTGCTTATTGTATCAATGATACACCATATCTTATTAACTTTATGACTGTGTTTTTTCAGACTTCTATAGTCTTAAAATGATGTGGTGTCTTACAGTTGGTTTGCAGTGATTGATGCTGCTTCTGACTTTGACTCAACTAAGGGAGAAGTCCAGCTGCTGTTAGGGTAAGACTCTCCACCACAAACCTCTCAGGTCCTATCTATACAATTATTTTGCAACAACTCCTCTCTGTCAAGCATGAGCCTTAACATCCCTGGATTGGCTTTTCCCTAAGGCAAGAACACTGCAAGGCAATTTAGGTTTCTTTGAGCTACTACCCAGTTCTAGTGATAGCACATCTATCCAGAACTCCCTTTATCTGCATATCTTTCCATCTCTTTCAGTTTATCAAATTGAATAGAGGATGGGAAACCCTTCTGGAGCCAGAGAATCTTTGAAAGAACTTATCTAGTAAGTGGGGGGCAGCGGGGAAGACTAATAAGAAAGCATTTTGTAATAATTGAATTGACAGCATTTACTTCTTCCTGGTAGCTAAAATGGTGTTGTACAATCGATAGCAACTTATATCTGATCAAATAATCCAGTGCTTTGCTGCAGCCAGGTCCTCCCCTTGGCTCATGAAGTAGAGTGTGTCCATCTTTTCCCAACTCCATTCCCAGTGACGCCAAGTTGGTGGCTTGAAGACAGTTATGATAGAAGAAATTTTAACACTATGCAAATCAGTAAAAATTAAAAATCGACACCTCCTCACCAAGAGCAAGTTGTTAGATATTTTCCAGATGACCACTGATTTTATTTCTGAGTTAAAATTTTCACTCTGGAAAAGCATTGTCTGTATGTGATTGATTCCATAAAATACAAATGTGCAAAATATAAACATATTTTAGAAGTTTACAAACCTCAACACATATTGGCATGAACCAGCCACTGGTGAAGTTAAATGAGATTACCACAGATTTGTCTTTTTTAATCTTATTTAGGTTGATGACAACATCAGTAAAACTCTAATTACTTATTTTATTTATTTCTTTGTTGAATATTAAGTTTAAATGTTTTTGGAGAATTTTTTTCAATAACAAAATACAGTTGAGTGTTAAAAAAGGACCTTAATGACTTCTTTGGACCTTTCAAATTTATAGCAACTGGACATTCTTAGACTTTTAAAAAACTGTGTTTCAGATTTAGCTAGTAGTTAAAAGGTTTTTATTTAAGGAACTTTATAAAGTTGAGAAACTTTTTTCAAAGAACAGCAATTTTTTTAGCTAATATTTTTCTCTTTGACTATTATTAAACCATGACCTTAGAAAGACCAGTTTCTTTTTCTTTTGAGATCTACCAATGAAGAGGCAATCCTCTGCTTATGGTACAAAAGAAACAATGTCCTCTGGAGAACAGCAGGTGAGAGACTGTCATTTTCTGAGAGTCCAGTACAAATGAGTCATTAAGATGGAAGTCCTTATTATGGTATTTATACCTTCAATGAAAATAGCAAGTAGAAATTTTTTCATAAAAAAAAAATTACACCTAAGTCACTCCTTGTCTACACATTGCTTTAAAATTTTTGTCTAGGTCAAGTGGATATCCTTAGAAAAGTTATCATTCATTTCCTTTTCACATCTTCAAGGTTTTTATTGTTCATCTATGTAATACCTCTTTGATTTTATCTAATATATCTCCAGGGCTTAGGACAATGTCTTATACATAGTAGAAGTTTAAAAAAATATTTTAATGCATGAATATATGTGTGTATCTATTTATAGATCTATCTTAATAAATTTATGACAGCATTCAGATATAGTATATGACAAAAAAAGAGTATCTAGAAATTAGGGACATTTAATCAGGACTAAACAAATCTCTTTTCCTACACAAATTCAACTTTAACTTTCCTTTCTTTCACTGAAGTTCTTTTCCAATCCCATTTCTTGCATCCTTTCCTTTTGCCTGTTGCTGTTTTACTCACTAGCTTCTTATATTACTTCTTTATTCATACCACTTCTTTTCATAGGAATTGCTGAATAATACAGGCATGTGAAATATTGACCCAGTTCATTACCTTCATTCATATTGAAATGTATTACTGAGTTACAGGTCACAGAAATGATTGGTGAATAGAAGCTGTTGTATGGTTACATTTCTATGCATCAAAAGATAAATATAGCACATAGTACCAGAAAGCAGGGAAATATAATCAAGGATTTCATACATGGCCATTACTACTCAAGTGGAAAACCATTTCTGAAATGTAAAATGTTAGTCTGACTCTATCATTGATAAATAAATAATAAATGAATACTTCCTTCCTCAAAATGGTTTATAAATCAATATTTTGAATATCAAATATCAATATAAAGTATTCCATAATTTACACATGGGTATTTATTGAAATAATTAATAAATATTAACCTTGTTTTTTTAAGGGTGTATATATTTTAACCTATTGAACTAAATGATACTTGCAGAAAGACTTCATTCTCTTTTAGTTAATGTAAGTTTATTCATTTTTTATATTTTAAACAAAGATCAATTATTATTCATGTGATATAAGGAAAATTTTCTTCAAATGAGTAAGAAAAAACACTTAACTATGCTTGATGTACAATATAATTAAGAATATCAACACAAATAAATTCAAATAATTTGTTTAGAAAGAAAAATATTGAATGTTTTAAAATAACAGATGTGTTTACATATATAACATATACCACTTGACAAGATATTTGGTTTGTAAGTATTCTGATCTCTGCAGAAGGTAGTTACTATATAAAGAGTTGTATTCATTTGAAAGGCAAGTAGAGGTGGTATTTAAATGCAATTAATCATATGTTGGCGAAAGTATCAAATTCAAACCTCAAAGTCCATACAGCTTTCCACTGTAGGAATATGGAAAGAATGGGCATAGTGAACAGGGGGGAAATATCCCCTGTCTGTCTTGCTCTTTTGTCTAGAGACTCTGAACTCAAAGTTCCTTGCCTAATCAGGAAATTCCACACCTGAGCAGGTACCGTAAGATGGTTTTTAATGCAAGAATTGAACCCATTTACTTCCTTCCTTGATTCTATTTAAATTAGATTGACCCAAGAGAGAAAGATGTAATTTGGTTAGGTTGTAATTATTTTTTTTAATATTAATTCGAATATTACAGGTGGCAATTACCTGTGGAAAATATGAAGTGTTTACATCTGTTAGTACTTTGGAGATTAAGCCTGAAGTTATTCTCCAGGGAAGAGTCGCCAAGAAGCTTTGGAGGATTTTTTTTTTCCCTTTAAATTTCTAACCCTTCACAGTCTTGCAAGACAGATTTCTGAAATAAATTTTAAGGCTCTGAAATGATTAGCAGAAATGCAAAGAAATGATCATAATTCAGCAGTTGATCTGCTATGATCAAGGACATGGTGTCCATTTTGAACATTTCTTTCAGGGGGTGGGGTGTGGTAGTGCTGTTACTCATTCTTGATTAAAAAATACCAGAAAAAATAGAAAAGTTAGCATAACTCAGTGAGGTTTGTTTACTCAAAAGTGCAATACAACACACCGGTTTATTTGCAAAGTCATTCTCACATAATTAGATGATATTGCTTATATTCAAAATTCATAAACTCCTAGGGAGCTTTACAATTTTTAAAATGTTGCTAACCTGAATATAATTTTTTCCCCCTTCACAGTCAGTTCTTCCCAAGGAATTTGAGGGAGAAGGTCACATTTGCCCAAAAAGGCTGATTTTACTTTAATCGATGTAAAAACCTATCTCAAAAAGCTCTTGAGATGTAATTTAGAAGTTTTTAAGAAGTAGCAGAAAACACTTACCAATAATGTTGAAGGACCCATCTTTTCTTTTAACCACCTGAAATCAGAAGTCCTATTATAAAAAGGAATAGACACTAGGGTGATCATGTTCAGGACGTGGGCAAAAACAAAATAATTTTTTTAATCTGTCCCAAAATATAAATTCTAAAGATAAAAGTAATCAGAGAGGGGTAACTGTTTCCAATATCCTGAACTGACTATAAAATTAGTACAAAGAAATCTTTCTTAAGATTTATGTGTTGTTCACAGACAAAAGAGGGAGGTAAGGAGTTTTGCATTGAATGTGACCTAGAGAAAGCAATCTTTCCTTTCTTCAGTAGCCTCCATGTGATCCTATCACTAAACACTGGTTTCAGGTTTCTGAAGTTAATTGTTTCCATTTATTTATTTCAGAAATACCTAGATTCTATAAAGCTTAAATAGTTATCAAATATGAAGATACTGAGTCAAATCAAGTCCAATTAATAGTTTTAGAATACAACGCATATAACAACCAAAAAGATTCCTATTTTCTGAGCTAATGATTACTAATCTAGGTCAACCTGGGATAGAGAAAAAAATAAATACACCACCAAAGATCAGTTAATGTAATAAACATCAAACAAAATATTATAAGATAAGCAAAAGAAATAAAGAGCATGCACTTGAGATCGGGAAAATCATATTTGAAATTCCAACCATTTCCCCCACTCACAATGTGGATTTTGAAATGCTTCATGTTCTTTCAAATGCTCATTTTCTTCATCTATAAAATAGGATAATAAAATAATGACAAACATTCAGTATGTTGAACCTTATAGCAATGGCTTTGCTTATAATTTCTTCATTTCAAAAGGATTAAAGTACCATAGTTATAATCTTACAAAGATTTTATCTATTTTATCTATTTTATCTATTTAATTCTATAAGCTAGCAAATAACTCACATTCTTATTTGAGGGGTACAGATAACAGTTATTTTTATACATTTTGGATAAATCTTCCCTTAGAATTGCAGAATATATCCATACATATAGGTATGCACAGAAACATGCACGCATACACATATGCATGCTTGTAGTATAAATATAATTGTTCTTACAGGAGTTCAGGAAGTGACATCACAGTTGTATAATTTTATAATGTTTGACACATTCAGAAATTATTCCTCATGAGAAGAAGATGTATTTAGACTCAAATCCATAACATAGTTGCTTCCGGATCGTATCTCAAAATGACTCCTATAAACATACTCACTTTTTGGTTTTGGAGTTTTGGTTTTGGGGTTTTTTGTTTGGGTGGTTGGTTGTTTTTTGCCATATTTTCTTTGACTCTTGTTGTTTTTGTGGGGAAATGACAGCATTTTTCATCATTACGTTCTTATCACAGTCTGACAGATCTCATTTCTACATCTACATTTTAATACACTGATTTTTAAATGGACCTATACCTTTCCAATAGACACTACTTTTTTTCTGTTTGATTTTTCTAGTTTTGCTGCTTACTTTTGCTACAAATTTATTGAGTCTGGCTCACAGATGTATTTTACCTGGTAAGGAGATTGGCACGTGTCTCTGTGTTCCTGTTTGCAAATATAAAGGTACAAATAAACGCATATATGTGTAAGCCATGGTTAGTTGGGGCATGCATTGTCCAGGTCAACACGGGCCCTGTCTCTCTCAGTTACCTTATTGTGACATGCTTCACACTCTGTCTTCCAGAAGATAAGTTCAGCTGCGTCTTTAGAGGCCTCCAGATTAACAGAACCATTTCTTAAATCACTGCTGTTGCCACATTGGGACACAGTGGTTTTCGTGTTCTCCAACAATTTTTCTGCTTGCTTTTGCTGCTGAACTTATTGCTTAAATATGTGGCAGTTTTTATTTATTTATGTATGTATTTATTTATTTAGTGTGTGTGTTTTCTTATTAATTTTTTTTCTATATGCTAGTGATATGCATTTTTACCTCTCTTCTTGGGGGTTCACAATCCTATTGTTCACACTTTTTTTTTTTAATATAATTTATTGTCAAGTTAGCTAACATATAGCGTATACAGTGTGCTCTTGGTTTCAGGGGTAGATTCCGTGATTCATCACTTACATACAACATCCAGTGCTCATCCCAACAAGAGCCCTCCTCAATGCCCATCACCCATTTTCCTTTCTCCCCCACACTCCCCATCAACCCTCAGTTTGTTCTCTGTATTTGAGTCTCTTATGGTTTGCCTCTCTCTATGTTTGAAACTATTTTTTCCCCTTCCATTCCCCCATGGTCTTCTGTTAAGCTTCTCAAGTTCCACATATGAGTGAAAACATATATCTGTCTTTCTCTGACTAACTTATTTCACTTAGCATAATACCCTCCATTTCCATCCACATTGTTGCAAATGGCAGAATTTCATTCTTTCTCATCGCCAAGTAGTAGTCCATTGTATATGTAAACCAAATCTTTATCCATTCATCTGTTGATGGACATTTGAGCTCTTTTCATAACTTGGCTATTGTTGAAGGCGCTGCTGTAAACATTGGCAGTTATTTATTTTTAAAACAATGCAGATTAACTTCATGGACTAATAGAGATCTTGGGCTATGCAACATATAACTAAGTCTACATAAAATAGTCAAGAGGCTTTTATTCTTATGACGTTGCATTTGTGAACAAAATAGTTAACCTTTGCCTTTAAAGTACTTTTAAAGGAGAAGTTAACGGCATTTCGAAATTTTTACGTGTATCTAACATAAAAATGAAGAACTAAACTTCACAAATTTTGGACTAACCATTTTACATGTATTTGCCCTTTGTGAAAATGTGCCATTATTGTCGCCTTGCAAGAGCACATTCAATCAACTCTAGTTATTATAAAAATGACAAGCAGATAGCATTGGTTATTTCTATGCTTTGTGTGGACTTGTGCTTAATCTCTTTCCAAGAACTCTTCTAAGGGTCAATAGATTTTTTAAATTGTTATTTATAAATCTTGGCTTTTTCTTAAATAGTAGTTATAGCACAATATATATCCTTTGAGTTTTAATGTGTAAGGAAAGAAAAGACTATATGCAAATATAAAAATATACGCATATGTGTATATATACAATATATGTATTTATATGTACATATGTGTATGAATATGTATATAGACATATACATGTATATATATATATATATGTATGTATCTTTTGCATTGGATTGGAATTAAGTATCGTTTCTAATGACTTTTTATAGAAGCATGGCAATTTGAAAAGTCTAGGAGGGTGGGTTGGAGGGGTTGGTGTTAGATCTGTCAAGAGATTGAGGGAATTGAAACTGATGCTGACAGTGGAATTTCAAACAAGTGAACACATGAATGGACTCTAATTTTTATAAAGTTTGGTCAATATAGAAGAAAATATTAGCTATGTCAGCCTGATGGAAAAGCAGGGATTTCACACAGCATCAGAAATCTAGGTCATGCTATCATTTACTGCCTTCCAAGTAAACAGATCCAAGAAATGCGTGCAAGGAAAAAAAGACTAAAGCTTAGGTTTCAAGGTAAAATATGAGTCTCTAGAGAAGGTGTTTGGGTACCAGGTAGGGTTTTAGTCCTCGTCAGAGGGTGGGATGGAAAATGGTAAGCACGTTGGCAGTTACTGAGGGCTCTATACTACATACTGTGCTCTGCTCGATGCAGGTGATTGAGATTGAATTTGCAACAGGGGTTGAGAGAAAGTCTCAGCAAATGGGAGCCATGAGCTCCTCAGAAATGGAGAGCTGAGAGTCAGGGAGCCTTGTGCCCGAAAAACCACACACAGGATGGAGATGGAGGGGGCAGAATGCCAAGCCCTCTAAGTGAGATACTCATGTCCTGGGGCTGCTTCCTGCTTTTTAGTCAGTAAGAGTTCAGAAACTGAGTCCAAACTGGCCTACAAGTAGGGATTTTTTAAAATGTTTATTTATTCATTTTTGAGAGAGAGAGCGCGCATTCATGGGCACACATGCAAGCAGGGGAGGGGCAGAGAGAGGAAGAGAGAATCCCAAGTAGGCTCTGCACTGTCAGCACAGAGCCTGACTGGGGGCTCGAGCCCACAAACCAGGAGATCATGACCTGAGCCGAAATCAAAAGTTGGAAGCTTAACTGACTGAGCCATCCAGGTGCCCCGACAAGTAGGATATCAAGTGGAGCCTAATCATTGAGGAGCTGGAAAAAGCAACCTAATAAATATATTTGATATTTAGTATCTAAAACAATGAGGTTTAAATTAGGAATGCTTTAGATTAATAAGTGCACATTTAAAAAAAATCATGAGTATCAGTCTTTTATGTAATTTCAGTCATAACTCCTACCCTATGGAATAGATGTATGCCTAAAGTATATATGTAAATAATTAATGTTTTAATAAATTGATTTGTATTTTAAGTGAGCAAAGAAACTCACTGTTTATTTTTTTTTTAAATTTTTTTTTTTCAACGTTTATTTATTTTTGGGACAGAGACAGAGCATGAACGGGGGAGGGGCAGAGAGAGAGGGAGACACAGAATCGGAAACAGGCTCCAGGCTCTGAGCCATCAGCCCAGAGCCTGACGCGGGGCTCGAACTCACGGACCGCGAGATCGTGACCTGGCTGAAGTCAGACGCTCAACCGACTGCGCCACCCAGGCGCCCGGAAACTCACTGTTTAAAAAATATCAAGTGAGGGGTGGCTCAGTTGGTTAAGCAACCACCTCTTAATTTTGGCTCAGGTCACAATATCAGGGTTCATGAGTTTGAGGCCCACCCTGTCAGCACATAGTCTGGGATTCTCTGCCTCTTTGACCCCTCCCTGCCTATACATGTACACATGCATGCTTGCGCATGTTCTCTTTCAAAAATAACTAAAATCAAAAAAATAAAATATATCAAATGAGGTCATTAGAAATTTGAACTTTGTTCTTCAATGTATGACTTTATCTTTTTATAGCAGTTTGCAATTTACAATAAACATTTTCACTTCTGTTGTCAGCCTTGAATCCCATAGCTCCATAGGTTACACAAGTGAGTGAATTAGGTGCAATTTTGGAAGTTTCAGGGAGTGGGAAATATGCCCATTGTCACAAGCTTCTAAAAGTTAGCTCTGGACCTTGGGCTATCATCCTCCCCTCTGCTCCCCTTTCATAAATAACACACTACCTCTATGCTTTGTAAAACTGTGTTTTTACTTCCCATGTTACAGTCAGTGGTTGGGATCTTATTAGTGAGAGAGGCCACCTCATTTGGTAACAGCAATGGTTTTGTCCACCCTCTGGTAGGTGGCACAGCTGCTTGGAGTTTGAGGTTTGACTCTTCCGTCTGTTACCTTTGTTACTCATGTTCTCACTCAATACTCTGACACTGATTCTGGGCTCTGGAGAACCCTCCCTTAAACTGTGTGTCAATTTTCCATGGAGCTTTAATCGTACATACTAGGGCACCCTGTAAAATTGCCCATGAATGGGTAGGGTTGGTGGACTTTTCCTCTCTTCCCATTCTAATTCTCTTGCTACCACATAGATTCCTTACATGCCATTATTTCTATCTCCCTACCATTCTGAAATAATACACTTCCAAGCCTCAGTTCTTATACTGTCTCAACAGTTGAGAATGGACTGTGCTACATCTGGTTTTAGATGGGCCCATAGTCCTCCTTTTGCTAAGCTGCCCTGCTTGACTCAATGATTTCCACGTTCAATAAGCATGCCTCAAGGATAGGCTCTATGGCTTAAGGGTTTTTTTTTTTATATATATACTATACAAAGTCACCAGCAAAATGGAC